TGTTAAATTTTATTTAAATATTTTAAATAATTAAAAAGTAAATCAGAGACATATTTATAGTAATTATGCAGGCAAATCTCTACCAATTAAGGGATATATATGTACATACATATGTACGTATGTACTACTCATATAATATATGCATTATAGACTATGATCGAAAGTCTGTGATTCTGCATAAGGTGATCAATAATCATACCTATATCTGATTGGTGTATTAATATAATCAAACCAAAATCGAGTAAAACATACATAATTGAAAGACTAATAGATAAGTATAATCCAAGATTAAAAACTCAGGTTTCAAAATCACATAATAAAATAGCAAAATAAAAAAAGCTAAAAATATTTGAAAGTAGAAAATGGCAGAAAAAAACTGGTAAAAGTCTTAATTTAGATAAATTAGCTATACAAAAACAATTAAATAAACTTATCTTTTATGTGCCCAAAGTAAGACCAAAGATCATAATAAAGAACCTGATAAATAAATAAAAGTGCTTTAGTGTTTAATATAATATTAGTAATAAATAGTTTAGTGTAAGAAAAGAAACTTGAAAATTTAATGTATCAGATAGAAGTGCTAAGAAGTTAGTTGCCTTCTTTAGGTAAAATCTTAAAAAGATATAGTGTGTTTTAGAATAAAAAAAAAAATCTTAAAAGGGTATAAGATGTGGTTTCAAATGAATCATAGTAATGCACTAAAAGTAAAAAATTGATTTAATAGCTTCTAATTGCAAAGAATTAAAGAATCAAATGCTTTAGAATAAGAAAGTAAATTAAAATAATACTCCCATTGCATAGTCCAAGTCAAATCAGCAGATTAGTTAAATTGAAAATTTTTATTCTCGTTTATTAAATATAAATAACAAATGTTCTTATTGTTGTCTTTTGCGAATTTTTAATTTAAATTATATTAAATTTAAATGTACCAATATAGTTTATTTTATCATAGTAAACCATGTTTTTACTACTATCTAAAGTGTATAATAGTGCTGATAAGCTCTATCAAGCTGTACAAAGCTTTGCAAATACCCAAGATTATGTGCTAATTAAAAAAAGAACTCGAAAAAATAACCATGATAAATTAAAAAATATGCTACTATAATGTGACCATGGTGGTGTTTACCAAGACTCCTTGGAACTTAGTGAAGAATCTAGACCTAGACAAAAAAGTACTAGGCTTATCGACTGCTTTTTTGAGTTATATACTATTAGACGTGAAAGAAAATGGTATTTAGAGGTTCACCATGCAGACTATAATCATGGTCATTCAAGTAATATAGCAAGGTATTCTATTGTTTGCCAACTTGAAAAACAACAAATAGCAACTATTGCAACTATGACTATTGCTAGTTCAAAACCTAGGGAAATTGTATTAACTCTTTATCAAAACAATCCAGAAATGCTAGTAACTAATATTGATATTTATAATGTACATGCATGGCTTCACTTAGAAAATCTAGCAAGTCATACTTCTATTTAGGCTTTGGTGGATAAACTTCAAAAGAGCGATTTTTTTTTTGAGTATGAATATGATAATACTGGCTCTGTTATTCACCTTATTTTTTCACACAATGAATCTGTCTCTCTTACTTGTTGCTATTTCACTGTAATTCTAATAGATTGCACCTATAAAACAAACAGATTTAATATGCCCTTGTTAAATGTAATAGGTATAACTACAGGGGGCTACCAGTGTATTGTGGACACTTTTTAAAAATTTATATTAAGCTAAATAAATAAAATACAAAGCCAAA